CGCGTGCCGTCACTTCTAGAATAGAACCGCACCCTTTGATATTCGGCCGCGATGCATCATTAATTGAGCTTTCGTTATACATCCTGACGTAATGCACATAATGCGGTATCGTTTACGGTTCTCGGAAACAAATCACGCACGCGGGAAACTTCTCGCGGGGAAAGGAGGGCAAACTGATCGCTCGCATGGAACGAAACAAAAGTAAACTTTCGGTAATGATTGCTCGTGAGATTTTAATTGCGCGCGCGCGCGCTAAAAAAAGAAAAGCGAGGAAAGTCTACAGTTCGCGAAATTAAATGGGGGTGACTTTTGCGGCCGACAGGTGCTGGTGGTGACGGTGGCGTATCGATTAAACATCCTCGGATTCTTCACGACGACGGACTCCGAGGCGTCCGGCAATTACGGCATGTTCGATCAGATCGCCGCCCTTGACTGGATAAAGCGTAACATAAACTACTTCAACGGCTCGCCCAGCAATGTCGTCATCTACGGCCACAATTCCGGCGCCATAAGCGTGGGTCTGCACATGCTGAGTCCGCTCAGCAGAGGGATGTTCCACAAGGCGATCGCCATGAGCGGGGACGCCGTCGGTTCCGTCGGCACGCTAGAAAGGGAGAAGCCGGTCGTGAACATCATAGCCGACAGATTCGGCTGCGACCGACGACCGACTAGCGCGCTGATGGAATGCCTGCGTCGGCAACCAGCCGAACACCTCATCAAGTTCTCGTCCGACATCGAGACTTGGGGCCCGATCGTCGACGCCGAGACGAACAACGATTCGGATCCGTTTCTCGCGCAACATCCGAAGGACATCTTGGAAAGTGGTAATTGAAAGTTATATTATATAACTAGTTTTCCAAGCACGAGTCGGCATACGAAGACATCTTAAGAAACGTGATCTAAAAATCTAAGGAAAAATCTTGTTAGTGTCGATTTAAAGATATGCGAAAATTTTTAAGAAGCATACTCAAATTTTTCTTAAATATATATTTATTCTGCAAAAGTTTACTTTTCTTTTGGATATCCTTTCAATCTTTTGTATTTCTTTCGGTTTAACGATTTAAATGTTCCCTTAACTTTGATAAAATAATGTATTACTAGGTAACTT